ATGAATTCATATAATGTCTAAATGTACACATAGCTGTCATGATTTTATGTATCTATCATATGTAACTTGTACAAGATAATGATTGTAATCAACATATCTATGCTTATTCACAGGCCTTGTATGCCCATGTAATATTTATATGTATATTCTTACACGGAGGAAATTTTCCCTTCTGCCAGGATGACTACTAACACTGTAAGACTTTTACAACAAAGTCAGGTCAGTGGTTATCTCAGGCGGCGCTCAGTCCAGTGACTATCGTTCAGGTACTGGCATACATTTTTATGCCAGTGTGATGAAACCCCATCTTGCTGCAGAATGAAGCCAGGAACCGCTTCCTCCAGCTGAGGGAACAACCAGTCTGATAGTATGTCTTGGTAAATGCACCTGTTAATCACTTTTCCATAAATAAAAAAGGACCATGAAGAAAAAAGCACCAAAACACAAATGTTGGAAATGGCTCAGAAAACAACTTTCACCTTTGGAGAATCACGCTCAGGCTCCCTTACACTGTGTGGATTTTTTATGCCCTAAAATGTAAATTACTGCAACTAACTTCACCAGAAATGTGAAAAATGGCTTCATCCGTAAACATAAGTCTATTTGAGAAGTCATCTACCTCCAGCTTATCTCGCAAATTTTCACAGAAAGTTGTATGCAACAGCCTGTTGGAAGATTTTAAAGCCTACACCATGTGAAATGTGTATGACATTTCCATAGCACACGCCACGCCGTTACATGAAACACATCAATTTCGAAATTCGCATTTGTGGGACTATAAAATTACACGTATTTTATAGAAATTTAAATTTCGGATCATTTATTCTCCTTTCAATAAAATTCCGAGTTCCTTACTCAGGACCCCATTCCGGATATGAAATCCTAGGGTACTTACAGAATTCCTTCCTAGTGTGGTTTAATTTACATTAGTCAAACTAAGACAGCCTTAAAATTTCGCGTTAAGGAACATGAGGCATATGTTAGAAAAAAGGAAACACAGAAGTCCTCTGTTGCCCAACATTGTTGGTCCGAAAATCAAACTTTAAATTTTTCCTGCAACGAAAATTATTCAAAAAACATCTTCCATTGGAGAACTGGATTTTCTAGAGGCATTTCACATTCATAAAAATCTTTCTGTTCTAGTTAACGATCCTAATTCCAATCCAAATTTGCCTTCGGCTTTTAAGAAATGTGTTTTAGTTCTGGTTTCGCCAACAGATGGCGCCACTTGCTTATTCTTGTCCAGGCTTTCTTATCTTATCTTATCACTATATCTTATCTCGTTTATTTGCGCTTTGGCAGTTGAGGATGATGGTTCGGTAAAACCATCGAAACTAGTCCTGTGAAAATTTGTAAATATTGCTCTGATATTTGTTGTTTGTTTCTGAATCAGTAGTCCTCTAATATATATGTCTTTGGAAAGCCTAACATTGGAATTGTTGCAGAATGCACTACTAAGTGATGAAGTGTTGCTGAAGATATCATTCAAGAATTTTTAGGTAAATCTGGAATTGTATTGATTCAACCTAACTGCATTGGATTTCCTTACTTGTAAGTAATACTTCCGGTCAAGGGATTGTTCTGCCCGGGATGTGCTGTTCTTAGGAAGGGGACAAATTTACGAGTTTAGTACAGTCAAAAGTCGTTAAATCGGACACCCATAATCCGGAATGATCTATAATCCGGACCTCAAAGCTACAAACTTTCTGCGCATGCGTCGCGTTCACGCATGCGCACAGGCGTTTACGAGAGCGCGTAAGACCCTTACGGCTGCGAATACGTTTGTGCGCATGCGCGTTTAATTTGTAACGGAGTTATACGCTAAGCTAAAGTTATCTAATTCAGTTAATGTTGCCGATTGCGTTGTTCCTTAATCTTCGAATTGGATCCGGCTTATTATTTTTTGCAGACTGTTAGAGCAATTTTATAAAAGTAAGCTTGAACTTTCGATTATGTCAAATAGAATTTCCGATATATATTTACTACAAAACGAAAGTATGTTTGTGAAATCCGAAATCTGTTAATCAATTTTTCACGCTGCTCTGCGGCAGAGGGGGGGGGGGGCAGAAACGTCATTATTAGATTATGATAGATTAGAAAGATTATGTCAAATAGAATTTCCGATATATATTTACTAATATGTAATTTGTATCTACAAAGCGAAAGTATGTTTTGAGATCCGAAATCTGTTTATCAATTTCACGCGGGCGGATTGGAAGTTGATCTGTCAGCACTATCCTTATCTTCAGGGCAGATGTTTTTTTATTTTTATTTATTTGGTTATAATTCCCATACTAAGTGTAGTATTTCATTCTGTCTGTCTTTGATATGATTTAAATCAAGTTTCCTCGTCATTATAATTCGCTTCCGATAGTGAAGAAAGTGACCCAGAGGTTATTGAAAACGAAAAACATTTCGATTGACAAATTAGTCGGTATTCTCAACACAGCAATTATAGGACTTGAAACAGCGGAACTTTGTAACTAAACAAGAAATTATGTCTGTTTAATAGAATTAAGAGAAAGTATTATCACATGAAACGAAGCAACTTACATTGAAGGAAATGTTTAATAAAGTAAACAAATAAATATTAAGCTTTTTCTTTTTGTAAATTTTGATACCCTTTAGATCATAATTGTTCTTTATTTCATAAATTACGGTTTCATATTTTTAATTTTGTAATTTCTGCATGCCATCTTACCAGATTTAAACTGATGATCTATAATCCGGAAAAATTGATAAACCGGAATCGCCGAAGTCCCGACGAGTCCGGATTAACGACTTTTGACTGTATAATGTAATCTGAACAGCCTCAAGAATTCCTAAGCTTAAATAAAATTATACGGGTCTATTTAACGTTGAGGTAAAATGCTGTCTCTCTAAATTGCCGAGGTATCGCCAAACTGGCGGTGGTGTTGGTGACAAATTTTTATCTCCGAATTTGCTGTAAAATTCCAAGAAGCCTAGAAGCCACCAATCTTATTGACCATTTGGCTACATTTTAGTCTGTTCCCTGTATAACTTTAAGTGAATAACTGTAATTCATTCCTATATGTAACTGCATTTGTATCCAGGGCTTATCCTTAACTATGTATACCTTTCAGTAATTTTGAGAAACGGTAGCTACTGAAAAATTTTCAGCAGCTGGGGAAAAATTTAATTTGACCGCCGAGAGCATTAGTTCACTGTTGTTTGGTTCAAAGTTGAGATCGTAGTATTGACAAATCTCCGCGTGAGCTTCGCGTCTTCCATGTCTTTTCGGTTTCTTTTTTTTTTTTTTTTTTCAGGTCTTCATATATTTTCAAAGGATTAATATTTTTTATTATTTAACAGTTATAACTTTTTTGCTATGTAATACATTATTACCCAAAATTGAAGTAATAAAGTTTAAAGTTATTTCTACATCATCTAATTATTAACTTGATGTACAGTGGATGGACAAAAATATGGAAACACTTTGTGAAATGCATGTTTGAAAAGATTGATTTTAATGAAATATGTAGGTGGCGCTGGCGTTTTTGACTACTGACGCCACCTATACAACTTCGTAAATGTGCTAAACAGTTCAGTTGTTGTCGGAGTACTGTTATGTGAGGTTGTCATTGCATTATGTCAGAGTTAACAGACTTCGAACGTGGGCAAATTGTTGGAGCACGTATGGTAGGTGCTTCCGTAAGCAAGGTAGCCGAGGTGTTAGTGTTTCAAGAGGTACTGTATCGAAGATTTATTCCGCATATTTGAAAAGCGGAAAAACATCATCTGCTAAATCACAGCGCGGACGAAAGTGTGTCCTAAGTGATCGTGACAGACGATCATTAAGGGCAATTGTGACGAAAAATAAGAAGACCACAGCTGCAAAAGCTATTGCTGAAATAAATGTTGTGTTACCGAACCCTGTGAGTACCAAAACAATTAGAAGGGAGCTTCATAAACAGGGAATTGCTGGCCGTGCTGCAATTGAGAAGCCCCTCATCAGTGATGCTAATGCCCGTAACAGGAAAAGGTGGTGTTTAAGCCATGAAGCCTGGACTATAGAGCAGTGGAATCGAGTAATATGGTCTGACGAGTCTTCTTTCACATTGTTTTTCCCACTTCTGGCCGAGTTTACGTCTGGAGAACGCCATCTCAAGCCTATATAATACAGACTGCTTGTTGCCAAGAGTGAAACATGGCGGGTCTTTTGTTATGGTTTGGGCAGCATATCGTGGTTCTCTGCTAGCCCTGATAACTGTGTCAGGGCACATGACTGCCAAGACTTATGTGAACATTTTGGCCGATCAAGTTCATCCCATGGTACAAACTTGTTTTCCCGATTGTGATGGTGTCTTCCAAGACGACAAAGCCCCTGTTCACACAGCTCACATTGTCCAGGACTGGTTTTTCTGAGCACGAGGATGAGTTGTCCCATCTCCCCTGGCCACCACAGTCACCAGACCTGAATATTATCGAACCTTTGTGGTCTACATTGGAAACGGAAAGTGCGTTCTCATTATCCACCGCCAACATCATTATCTGAACTCGCCACCGTTTTGCAGGAAGAATGGTATACTATTCCCTTGGCAAACATACAGGAACTGTATTTATTCATTCCGAGAAGACTGCAAGCTGTTTTGGATGCCAACGGGTTTCCTACACCATATTAAGCAAAGAAACATGTTTTTTTAAAGGTGTTTCCATATTTTTGTCCAACCCCTGTAGAATCCTGTGCAAAAACTAATCTTATCATTATTAAGTTAAAATAACTTTAATCAATCTATATTCACAAACTTTTAATTTTAAATCTCACTTTCCTGAAAGCTGCACTATTGCTTGTGTATAGAGTTTCATTTTTCTGGTAATATTTGTTAGAAATATATTCTACCTGTACTTTATAGTTTTTTATTAGCAGAATTCTACTTCATTTTTCTGGAATACTTTTATGTTATGACATTTTGAATCTCTGTCAGTAATTTAATACAAGCTCTTTACTTTTTTAATATTTATGTGAATTTTCTTTTCAGAACATTTATTGTAAATGGTACTTCAGTTTCTGGTCAATATGTGTATGAAATTAATTTGAATGGTGTTTCCCAGAATTCGTCGGATTCGAATGCTTGTTCCCAGGCTGCTGTTTGTCAGACTAAAATAGATACAGATTTTATTCGAGATATTGGTAGCACTGACTCTAGGATCTTCGTTGCGAGAGGTATTATTTTATATTGCTAAGCCTATAGTGCATTTTAATTCTTCTTTCTATTAATATTTGGTATTTTAACAATGGAAAAATTTAGCATTTAGTAATAGATTATTTTTAGCATCAAATATATGGCTGTATTATTTAGATTTTCTATAAAGAATGCATCTAATTCCTTTATAATAATTAGATAGTTAATGATTAAGTAGCTAAAATTACTGAGTACATTTTGTTTTGTGCAGCACCAGTTATTACGCAGTTTCCTTCGTTAATGTAAATGTCAATCATTTTTCCTTAGTAATTTCTCCGCAAATGCTGTAAACTGCTACTAATTCATACTGTGATTAAAGTAGAATTTAAGTATTTGTTTTTAAATTTTAAATAATGTGTTTTTTTTTGGCTTTTTATTATGTTATTTTTTTCTTTTTAGGCTCCAAACTGCATATAACATTAGTATCTCAAACTCAACCATGTGTAAAAAACAGTAGGAAAAATGTGACCACAATTATCAATCTACAGTGTGCTTTGGCAGCTGGAATTGTCACTGCCTAAATTCTTTAGGGGAAAGAAAGTAAAATAAGGATAAGGAAAAATTCAAAAGTGAATAAAAATTAAAAACATAAATGCCCCATTTTATTTTACATTTTAATTACATAAAATCGTATTTGCATTTATATTTCATTCTTTGGTGTTTTATTTTTTTTTAAATGATTGATTGCATTTTTCAGTTTTTAAAAATTAATTTGAAACTACAAGTAGGTAGTAAAAATTCAATAGCTTCTTAAAATGTTATTAATTTAATGAAAGATCTTAACTATCTGCTACATTGAACCAGGAGAAAAATATCTGAGATACAAAACAAATATGCAAGACTTCCGTTTGTGTGTTTCAAGCATCTTCATAAGATGTTGCCATCATGTAAAGGAACAAAAAAAAGTATTTTACTAATAATTAAATCACTATCTGATTAGGTTAACACCAAAGGCATCATATGAATTTTGCTAAAAATGTGCTTTCATTAAATGAATTTAAAAAGTAGTTTTCAATTTGTTGCTCTTTGGTATGAGAGCCGGAATGTTACTATTGTTGTGGTTGCTTATGCTTACTTGTCTGACCTAATCAGCCCAAGCCCATAAAATTCCATGTGGCAAGGAGCGCTAGAATACATCTGCCGTTGGCAACCATTCAAGTGACAGTGGGATTTAGCTCAGTTCCGACCCCAATTTTGATGGAGAATACCGCGGGGGGACGGGTCTGAGGGTCTTCCACCCCTCTCTCCTTCCACGAAACCACACTAGAAGACTTTCGGTTCGCCGCATATTTAGACTGCCCCCATGCCGCACCAACCCTGTGTATTTACAAACATCCATGCCTTGTCCTGGATTCGAACCTGGGACCTTAGGAATGGCAGTCAGGGACGCTAACCCCTATCCTGGTGGGTATCTAGAATGTTACTTCTGCTGTGAATCTGTGAAGCACTTAACTGATCAGAGAGAAATTCAAAAATGTCTTCGTCCAGTTCGTATATTAAGAGTTTTCTTTATAGTTTATGACTTCGATATGAATTAAAGACAGTAATATAAATCCATAAACAGCATTTTAGAAAACCTTCCCACTGATTTGAAATTGACTCAACACTTTTTTAAATCTTGCATCAGTTTTTTTTTTTTTTTTCATTTACTTATCTGTCATGGTGTTTTCCAAATCAGCTGTTATTTTTGGTACAGAGTAATTATATGAATTCCCATAGCATTTTATTATACTTGTATTTTCTTTCTTCTCATTTATTAATTACATATCTACTTGTAGGTATACCTCACGTGTATGGTTTCAGAACAACTTTAAATTTTTCAATTTACTAGAATGGTAAAGACTTGTCTTCCCTTCTGATTACTATTATCACAGGCTGAATATGAAGGTTGCTAAATCGATTTATTAGCAAGTCAACCTAACAGTTACACAAAACAAATACGCTAACAAAAAAAATCAACATCAGTACTGCAGGAAAGTATATATAGACCAGATGTTTTTATTTTATTTGGCTATAATCCTACTAAATGTAGTATTTATTCGAGTACTCCGTCTTTGATATGATTTAAATCAAATTTCTCCTCATTATATTCGCTTCCGTAGTGAAGAAAGTGACACAATGTTATTGAAACGAAAAAATTTCGATTGACAAATTAGTCGGTATTCTCGACACAGCAATTATAGGACTGAACAGCGGAACTTTGTAACTGAAGAAGAATTATGTCTGTTTATAGAATTAAAGAGAAAGTATTATCACATAAAACGAAGCAACTTAAACAACTTACATTGAAAGAAATGTTTAATAAAGTAAACAAATAATATTAAGCTTTTTTTTTTTTGTTTGTAAATTTTGATACCCTTTAGATCATAATTGTTCTTTATATCATAAATTACGGTTTCATATTTTTAATTTTATAATTTCTGCATGCCATCTTACGAGATTTAAAGTGATGATCTATAATCCGGAAAAATCGATAATCCGGAATCGCCGAAGTCCCGACGAATCCGGATTAACGAATTTTGACTGTATTTGTAATGGTGAATGTAAGTTTTTTGAAAGAATCTGCCTTTAAAAAATCAGAATAAAACAACACTGAATGTTGCCTTGTCAAGCCAGGTATGGAAAGTTCAATGGAACTCTTAGCTCAAACTCAGCGATGTTTACTATTGATAACATTTCAGCTTCTGATGTGAGTGAAACTGAACATAACATCCCCATGGTTAACTCCTTACACTACCTAAAGGACACGAATTTATCCAACTCTGCAATGAATATGAATAGCATCGCAACTTCTGTGGAAAAGAAAATGAGCCTACTACCTAATCATCTGTCTGAGACTCCCAAGTCAAGTGGAAAGAAATGTGTGTCATTATTGATAAAAATAACATTCAAAGTTACATTGGCACCATAAAGTGCAATGAAATTGGCCTCCATTTTGGTAACTTAACAATCAGAGGAATGACTGTGGGTGCTCCTTTCAAAACAGGAACCCATTTTTTTATATTCTATATAAAAGAGCAAAGTTGCCATTAACAGATTAATCACAGATGAAGATCCAGCCTCCATAAGAACAGAGCTTAATGACAAAAGTTACCTGGGCATTAAGCTGAAAGAATTATTCTAAAAACTACTGATAGAGAGGTCAACTTGCCACTCTTCTTTGTGGAACTGAAATGTGATAAAAGCAAAAAAATCCTTTCTGTTCCTCTTGGTGAATATCAGGATATACAGACCAAGGAAAAGTCTGCTACACATATCAGCGCTTCAGCCATGTACAGACAGGCTGTAACGAACCAAGATGCTCCTACTGCTCACAGGACCATCTATCTTATAGTTGCAAATTCCTATGAGATGTCAAGCCTGTCTCCATCAAGTGTAAATCTAGCCAGTTCTTACTTCTCCAGTCTATTGCTAGGGTGAAATGACTAAATGCTCATTTCACCCTAGCAATAGACATGGAAATTTTAAATTTATCCATGTAATGCCTTCAGTTAAAAAGAATCTACAAGATTCTGACACTCCTTCTCCTGAAATTTCTGACCATGATGATTTCTGTCTTGTGCACTCGCCTAAGAAATTTGTGCAAAGTGGACTAAAATCATCTAAGATTCCCCAAAATCCTGAACAATATTAGAGACTGTAAAACTGTGTTCACCAGTACGAAAACTTTAGTACGCTATGAATCCACTTTCCACTTTCGTTTGCTTGAAATACGCATTGTTTATACTAATTTTATTTAATTATGACAATAGTTATTGATAATAAAAATTACTTTTGAATTCTTTCAGTACTTTATTAATAGAGCAATCAGTCAAAGTGGCTAATGTTGCACTGAATAGCTCAAAAATCTCTAAGCTACTACAGTAGAGCTCCAGTTATCCGAACCAATTGGGACCGGTCCCCATTCGTATAATCAAAAATTCGGATACTTGGAGTTTTTCTGAAGGAAATGTCTACATGTACTTTAACTAATTACTGTATGTACTGTATGTTGAAAATGGGAGCAAAAACTATTTTTAAAGAAAAAGAGGTTTTAATTCATTATCAAACCAAAAAAGAAATGAAAAGACAACACTTTTACGTACATGTTATATAGTGTACTGTACAGTACTTACACGTGCTAAAAGTCATTGCTTGCTGAGCGTCTCGGTCAAAGTAAACTGTTTGACTTTCTTCATCCGTTTTCGGGCAGGCAAGTCGCGCATCCGCTTGACAATGAGGAGTTGCATGTGGTGACATTCGGGCTGATTCTCCATCCACTTCAACACACAGTTTCAAGGCCAGAAAACCACCTACTTCATCTTCATTAAAGCCATCTTCTTCCTCGACACTTTCTTTTCTTACACTTTAAATAAATTCATCATCATTCACAATTTGAAACCCAGGGTCTGACGAATCAGACACCATCCATTCTACGGTATCCTCAGCACTGACTCCTAAACATCCAGGAATTTTCAAGAGAATGTTTCAAATGAAACGTCATCCTCATCTTCTCCTGTCTCTTTTCTTTCCTTTTCTTGAGCTTCTTTTTCCTTTTTTTAATTTTCCTTCTCTTTTTCAGTTGATTGTAAACAATTCTGAAATTGATTCGGATAATCAACAATTCGGATAGTCGGAGTTCGGGTAATCGGAGTTGTGTTGTACTATTATCATTTTTACTACAACTGTCACTACTGCTGGCTATGATGCAAAATTTAAAAGTAATCATTTTGACTTCTCTTGTGATTCTAGTGTTTATTTTGATGACTTATAAGGTATTTTCTTCCTCCTTCCAGCATGCTTTCAGGGTTGTAACAGTAGCACTCTCAGCAGGTATTACAGAGTTCCAGTTTCGAATCCCGACGAGGGCATTGAACATTTTTCACATGTCCTGCTTCGAAAAATAACTTAATGATTCTACAAAAGACGCCCAAACTAAAAGATAGTGGACAATAATTAGTTACCACCAGCATTTGGCAACTGTGCCCCCCCTAATCCCTAGACGACCTATAAAAGGGTCATATCTAAGGTATTTTCTCCCTCCTTCTAGCATGTCTTCGTGGTGTACACTCAGAGCATATTAGAGCATGGTATACACTCAGCGCATATTTAAGAGATCTAGGTTCGAGTGCCGGCGAGGATTTGCACATTTTTCACATCTCCTGCTTCAAAAAATCCTAATCACTCTACAGATTACATTGCTGATTCATGCAGGAACAATACGTGATGTGCAGCTGCAAAGAAAGCAAATGAAAATTAGTATTAGAAGCGTGGAAATGTTCAATTTCACCATTCCCTCAGTTCTGTTGTTAACTTGCGCTTGTTCTTACTGAACTTATCCTGTATATAATGCAATTGTATATTTTCTTGTGTCCACCACGAGAAGAAAATTGAGCTCACCTGTTAGGATGGGGAGTTCATTTTCCTGCAGGGAGAGATGCAGAAATCTCATCCAAGGTTTCAAATGGGTAAATCTCAATTCCGTTGTTATAAAGTATGAGCCATTAGTTCCAATTTACCTAAAGTAAGATGCTGGGATCACCCGTGATCTTTGAGAAGAGAGAAGGCCATGACACTCGTCGAGCAAGTCAAAGATGAGTTATACTTTCTGTCCATCTTTTTGGACAAATATTTTGATAAATATCTCGAGGAGTGTGTACATTCTCGTGATAGTTATAATCTAACTATGTCAACTTTGTCACTGTTGTTTATGAAAAATATTTTGGCAAAGATATGATTGTCCATGAAAATGTATTTACAAATAAAAATGGGAGAATTTTAAGAATGCCGAGAAAACGTCCAACGTTAAAAGGCAATGCATGCCCATGCATATTTAAGTGTTGTCCAGTATATATGATCAAAAGTTTGTGCCTTTTAAAAATCAGTTATGTATCTTTGTTATGTCATGATCATAATAAAAATTTTGATGTTAGAATTTAGATACTTAATAATAAAATATATTCTGTTTTCATGGCTTAATTTTTGTAAACGTTTGTGATATCAGAAATTTTTTTAATAAATGGGGGAAAAAGTTTGTTGTATGCTATTTAAGAAAGAGTAGTTTTTTAATGCACACTACACTATGTATATGGTAGAAAAAGGGGATGTTCAGAAAACACTTATAAGTATGAATGTATGATTTTTGTTTTTATGGTTAAGTACAGTTTGATCATCATTGCATAATTTGATATATGTGGACTAGGAAGCAAGTTAAGATTTTAAAACATGTTGTGTAATGATGAGGAAGTTTTAATGCATGTAGTAAGTTATTTTGTATATTATCCAGAGTTTTTCTTTATAGTACGCAAAGAAAGGTTAATGATTTTAAACATTGCATGAAATGTATCATGGCCATTCTCTTAAATTTACATATGATGAAAAGAAATGGTGGTAATGAAACATCAGCATGACTACGAAATATAGTATCCAAAGGAAAGTTATTGATTATAAAGAGTGTATGAAATGATCATTGTAATCTACCGTTATCCTAAAATGTGAAAATTAAAACTTTTTTAATGTATAATATTTAAAAAAATGATCAATTTTATATTCATTGCAAATTGCAGTTCTAATTACTTTTCCCTTGATATTTGTGCTTCCAAACACTGTGAAGTTTATCTCTTTGCCAGCGTAGATGCTGTTTGTTAGATGCTGTTTGTAGATGCTGTTTGTTAGATTAATATCCTATTATAAATATGGAATCTGCAATTTAGGTTTTTTTAGTGTTACATATTTTTTAGTGTTATAATTTAGGTTTTTTAGTGTATTCCACTTTCATTGTTAATTTTTGTATGTGCTTATGATGGCAAAGAAATACATGCTAAATGGGGAAAAAATAACTTTTTGTTGTGAGTTATTAAAAAAAAGCAGCGCCCACCAGCGGTCGAGCGGTAGAGTCGCTGAACACTGGTAGTTCGGTCAGAGGTTCGAATCACGCGAACGGGCTGGCTACATGGGCGTTTTCGTGGTTTTTCCCTTGTGTAACGGGTATATGAGCCAGTTTCCCTTAGAAAATCCTCCACGAAGGCATCTCTCCCCTTAGGCAGATTGCCCTAGTGGGATTTGCCGTAATTAAATAAAATCAAACTAAAAAAGAGCATATTTTAAACAAAAATAAACGTTACTTCTAAATATTGTAACCAATAATTTTTGCACTTCTAATTGCTTACTACTAAAAAAAAAAAAAACACAGAGTAACTTTTTATTAATTGGAAATTGTAGTTCTGTTGCTTTTTATGTGCTATTTATACTTATAAACACTGCATAGTTCATTTTTTTAAATATTTCCATTACGTATGTTGTTTGTTAGCTTATCTCATTTTAAATATGACTATTGGAATTTTTTTACCAATTAGAGCTAGGTATATTTCGTGCGTCAAATATTTTTAATCACATTTATTGACTAATTCATATGTAGTCTTTCTTACATTTGCATATGTCAGAAATATAGAAGTTCATGGTTATATTTTTCTTATGAAATGTTTTGTACAAATAAATATTTTAAATTAAATGGATTATCTTTTTTGTTTAGAGCTGTGATCTCTTCAAGATTTCGGAGCTTAGTGAACACACAAAATCTTCCTTCCTTCAGGTATAAGAAGGTAAGCGTGCTGGATTTATTGCTTTGGTGCACAATATTCCAACCTTTAAACTCTGTGCCCTCTGCAAGTAAAACATCTCTACTGTCAAAATTTTCAATATGTAGTTGCGAATATAATATTTGAGTTCTGAAATTTTAATTGGAAATAAAAAAAAAAGGATAGTAACTGAAATCTGAAATTTTATAGTTGTTTATTAAAGTAAAACAAGAAAGATTGAACAACACAAAATCAAATAAAAATACTAAAATATAGTCATAATAAATGATAAATTTCAGCTTATGTCCTTGCAGCTCCAAATTAATTTCGCTGAACTAATTGTACTAATCTGTCAAGTAAACTAATATGTTTTTACACTACAATAATTTTTTTTGATACTTTGATACTTTTGATATGCCTGTTTCAGCAGGAATTATATCCCACTATTACAGACACCTCAAATAACCCCGGTTAGGGGAGACTTATGGGGGATTCCGATAAATGTTGGTTGCATAGGGCCTTAAATTGATGTCAATTTCTAGAAGCTTATAAGGTATTTCTCCCACTTCCCTAGCGTGCCTTCGTGGTGTAATGGTAGCATGCTGGTCCTGTATTCCAGAGGTCCGCGGTTCGATTCCCGGCGAAGGCGTTGTTCATTTTTCATCTTTCCTGCTTTAAAAAAAAATCCTAATGTCTCTACAAGTGACGCTCGAACTAAAAAGGATTGTGGATGATGATTCTTTGCACTCAGGATTTGGCGACTAGGTCCCCTAAAACTCTAGTCGCCCTTTAAAAAGGGGAGTATATAAGGTATTTCTCCTACTTTCCTAGCGTCCTTCGTGGTGTAACGGTAGCACGCTAGGTCGGTATTCCAGAGGTCCATGGTTCGATTCCCGGTGAAGGTGTTGTTAATTTTTCATCTTTTCTGCCTCCTAAAAAATCCTAATGACTCTACAAGCTCATACATAAAATTTTCTGAATAATTTACCTCCGCGTTGGTAATGGCTTTCTTGAAAAAATTATTATTTAATTCATTGATGAATAATGCCAGATATTAGATTATTTAAGGCCTCTGTGTAGCTGTTCATTGCGAACGAACCATGGGGGCTCCTGTGATTTTTCGTAAGTAGTTGTTTTGTAAAACCTGCAATTTATTTAATACGGAGCGGCAAACAGAGCACCATGGAGGGGAGGCATATGTAAGGATGGGTCTTAATATTGATGTGTAAATGTGCTTCTTGAGAGCAAGATCCAATGGTGAGAAGGCTTCAAGAAAGCTCCGGAGCTTCCTAAAGACTCCTGTGACTTTTCGCGATGGTCATGGAAATGTGAGGATGCCATGTAAGCAAACCATTAAAACGAACTCCCAAATATGTAGCCTCTCTGACTTTGGCTACTGTCAGTTTCATTAAAGAGGTTTTCTTCTGTGAGTCCTATCTGCATCACTGTGGGATTTTTCTTCTGTGTCATCTATCCTACCTTCTGTACCTCCATTTGGAACACCATTCCTCTATGTCCTGTGTGTGGTTTTGTATTCTGATCATGGCATGTCGTGGATTAAGTGAACTAGAAAGAATGGTGGTATCATCCACGTAAGCAAGCGATGATGCAGGCGTTATTTTAAATCATAGGGTATCCTGGTGGACGCCCAATAATTTCTGCCAAAATGAAACATTATTATTTCAAAAAATCCGTATAATTAATTAGTGGTGACTTATGTAGTTTAATTTTCATCTTTTAAATTATGACCTTAACAAGCATCAGACATGTGGTGAATTATGCATCATAAGATTAATCAGTGTTAGGATTAAATCAAGAACAAATATAAGAATATTTATTGAAATGCATAGAATACGGTGAGAAATGTTTTAAAATAATATTACAATATTATATGTAACTAAAATTGAAGGGTTTGCAGCAAGAAGGTGCAAGCTCCATGTTTTTAAATTTTCAGAAAATTTTTACACTGTAAATGCAACACCCTGAAGAAAGCATGCAAATAACATGAAATTTACAGCATGCATTAGTGAAGGTTAAATATGCAAATGATTAGAATTTCAGCGCAGACGCACATCACGCGTACCTGTGGCGCCACTTCAAAGCGCTATTTAAGGCTTGGAGTTTTCGACGATTTCAAGTTCGGCAATTGCGTTTTTCTTGTTAAAAAAAAAAAGACCAATTATGCCTCGTAGTAAACAGCGATCATCGTTTGATCAAGTATCCGAGTTCGACAGAGGAAGGATAGTGGCCTACCGAGAGTGTGGATTATCTTTCAGGGAAGTCGGTAGTCGTGTTGGACGAAACCAAAGAACTGCGGATATGGGACCGTTGAATGCAGGAGGGTACGATGGACCGACGTGTTCGATCGCATCCACTTCAGTGCACCACTTCACGTGATGACAGGAACATTGTGCGCATGGCAGTGATGGATCGCTCAGTCACATCACGAACCATAGCACAGCACATTCAGTCTGTAACGCATCAACCAGTGTCTGCGCGTACCATTCGATGCCGTTTACAGCCGAGTCGTCTGTCCGCAAGACGTCCATTGCTTCGTTTACCCTTGACGCAGAATCACAGACGTCTCCGCCGCCAATGGTGCGCTGAAAGAAGAATGTGGACGGCAGAATGGAATGAAATTGTCTGTACTGACGAGTCACGCTTCTTTCTGCAACACCACGATGGTCGGATTCCAGTCTGGAGACACCATAAAGAAAGGATACTGAACAGCTGCGTTATGCACCGCCGCACTGGTATTATGGTATGGGGCGGTATTGGATATCACTCTCGCACTCCTCTAGTACGCATTGCCGGTACTTTAAACAGCCAGCGCTACATCTCTGAGCTGTTTGGAGCCAGTTGTCCTTCCTTACCTTCAGGGCTTGCCCACAGCCATATTTCAACAAGATAATGCGTGGCCACACACGGCTTGCATTGCCCAAGGTTTCTTCGTCAATCGCCAGATTGAATTGCTTCCCTGGCCGGCTCGCTGACTGGATCTTTCACCGATAGAAAACATGTGGTCAATGGTTGCTGAACGATTGACCCAGATTACATCCCAAGCTGCCACACCAGATCAACTTTGGTAACGTGTGGAAGCTGCTTGGTCTGCTGTACCCCAAGAACGCATCCAAAGTCTCTTTGAATCAATGTCGAGGCGTGTAGCAGCGGTGACCTCCAACAATGGCGGCTACTCTGGCTACTGATTCTGGAAGGAATCACACTTCATAGAAGTCTATAAATTTAATCATTTGATACTTGGTCAACATGTTATCTACTAAATAAATTTTGTTGTGATATCTCTTGTCTTTCTTGGTGTTGCAATTTGGGTGGCCAGCAGTGTAAAAAAATTCAAAAATTCATTTTTTAACTTACATTTTAAAAGTTTATCCTCATGGAAAAGTAAAGGTAAAAATGATGTTTTACGGCTACTCCAATGCAAAGAACGATTTTCTTTTAACAAAAGAAACTCATAAATACCAAAGTGGAGCTGAGCCCTTCTTACCGCAAGCCCTTCAATTGTTTACTTCTTCATTTCAAAAAGAGGTTAAAAATTCAACAAATTTAATAAATATTAATATTACAATTAAATTATACTCTAATTTAATTGTATTAAATTTATTGATTTGGTAATATCCTCTAACAACAAAAACAGTGTTATTGTAATATGTATAACACTTTAAAGCTAATCATAGTAAAACTAGCACTACTTAAATATTGGATTAATATGTGAATCATCTCAATTACTTACCAACTGAAATATGCAGCATATATAGAGAAACAATGCTGTTTATATGGGTTGAATGTGCTGTTCCTTTTTAGCAGATGCTGATGGACCAGCCTTAAATGGCCAATCCCCAAGTGACACAAAAAGAACTTCATTATCTCTGCTTTCTGTTCAAATCTTGGCACTCAACTTATGCCTTAACCTGCAAACACTAGAGTTGCTGCCAACTTTTTAACAAAAATTCTGTTTGACATATTTTTGATACCTGTATAAGAAATACCTCTACCATATAGAAATATTAAGGATGACATATTTCTGGATACTGTGTAAGGATTATGTTAATTTTATTAACAGTTAGATTTTGAGTTAAACTTCTTTCCTTTCAAATTCTTAACTTCAACTTCCTACTTCCGGCCAGAACGTAGTTTTAGAATCACGTCTGAATACATAATGAGGGAGTGGTATTTAACCGCAAAGTTTTATTTGCTGAGTTAGAGAGAATCAGAGTTCCTGATTAGTGCGCGCCCGCCTTTTTTGGCTACTCTCTCTCAAAGCTGTTATTACGCTCGGCCGTACTCAGGTCCTTGATAGCTTCGCAGTCATCTCGTGTTTAAAGGACCAACTACATTAAAACTTTGATAGCTTCGGCTATATCTCTTTAGTTAAGTTTAGTTTAGTTCTTAGTATCTTAAGTTCAAAACCCGAATGTTCGGCTTTATTGTTAAACTCCCAGACGGAGTTCTGTTAATTTCTATCTGAATAATAAAGGGTTATTTTACCCTTTTTGCTTGTTGTTTCATCTACACGAACTCAAGCGATTATTCGCTTATCAGTTCTTAAGGTTCTTTATGTTCAACAGTAACTTAGCAATTACAAAGTGAGGAACTCTACAACCTATATAAGGAATACTACCACCATGCAGAGAAAATAAGTGCATTTTGCAGCTCTATTTGTTGATTCATTACTTTTTCATTCTTTTTGAATGTTTTAATAAATTTCATTATTAGTAATAAAAATTATTTTAATATTAAAAAACGTTTATACATACCTCGGGAAAAACTGCACATTACTATTTGTTACATATATGATGTGTTGTGTTGCACATATTGCAAGGCTGCTATAGTTAAAATCAAAATTTATAATTATTTTGTACATATATCTGCTTCTTAAGTTCTGTGAAATTAACCTCTTATTTATATATTTAATTATTTCTTTGTGTGATTTATTATTTTAATTGATGTGATGTAAAGTTTAATTCTACATTCTTTTTAGGATGACATGCTCACAGAATTATCCTAGGATTTTGCAGTTAAAGGTAGATTGTTCTCTGTTTTAAAATGGTGAAAAAATTTTAAAAAAGCAAACCTCGGAAACTTATCATTCTGCTGTGTTATTTAACTCTATACTATCAAATGCTTAATTTTTGTAATATATTTTATTACTAATACAAGTATCGTGGTATTAGGTGCTGTCCATGTGTGCCTGTATAAACACTTGTGTTATTGCCTTAAGACTATTATAGAGTATTAAATGAGTGTTTTTTGGTGTTACTTCTTTTGCTGTATGTAAATTGAAGAACTTATTTTCATTATACAAAATTTAATAACATGTTCTGAAATTTTATTGTTTGAGAATTGACATGCATATCTATCAAATTATGAAGAATCTGTATATATATATATATGTAAATTCTTTATGTTGTGGAAAAATGACCACACCTAGAACCACCAAATTTTGAACACACATAGTTCTCCACCAGTATGTATGCATCTCAAAATCTGAATTTTGAATTAATTTAAAGAATTTTTGTTGACAATTTTTTGTTTTTAATTTTTGTTGTTTGTCCATGATTTCAATGTTATGTTTTAGCCACTGCTCAAAATGAAACATTTTTGTATTGTTTAAGTGTAAAATATTTAACTTTAATATTTAACTATCTGTTACTGATTAATAAACTAAACAATTAAAAGTATTAAATAACATTCTTTAAGATATTTTTTATTAATTTGTAATCTGATTAATTTAAATAAAAATACTTATCCCTCCTGAGGTAATGCTAATAGTTCTTATGAAAATTATTAAATATTAATTATGTTTATTCTATCCAGTCTATTTCATATCTTGTTATGATATGACTTTAAGCTTCTTCCTTGATTTTTCCCCATGGTCCTTTTATAAACATTCACCAAATTTCATTCATAGGTAAAAGGAAGAAAGAAATTTTACTACAGAAATAACATATCCTGATTGCTACAGGATGACCATTGTGTCACTATCGTTAAGTTCAGTACAAACAAAATTTAGATAAAATAACTGATATTTAAGTTAATGTCAGTACCGCAAATATGTGCTGAAAAATACCGTAGCATATTCAAAATGATATAAATATAGTTGAAAAAGATTTAAAGGAAGAAATAAGATTTTGTGCAGTCAAAAATAAATGGCTTTAAAGCATTTTTATTCATTCCGGGTCTCTTCAGAGCATAGTCAATAGTAGTTATCATGGTAAAGAAATAAGCTTCAAATATTTATAGTTTGTATAATTTCATAATGAGCATTTATATAATGAGCTCGTTTTATAATTGCTATTGCATTTGTTTTATTTCAAATCTAGAACTGGAGACTGGAATGACTAATTAAATTAGCATAATAAAAATGCAATAACTTTGCTTTATTATTCAACTCATTAAATGCAAAGTCATTGAACACTAGTAAACCCTGGTAATGGGCAAGCTGTATGGATGCTTCCAGCAAATCTGATTTCTCCCATGTGTAACATGGATATAAACATCTTTACCTGTAGGCAGTAGCTTTTAAGTTGCTTTGATCTGAATCATTAAATATTTGTATGGAATTATAGTAGTTGGACCAAATGAAATCACACGTTTTCTTCACGACACATCGTTTTCTTCACGTTTATGCCACATACAATTCTTTACATTTATGCCACTTATGTATGTACTATATGGAATATATCCCAGTTTTTGGACTTTACTCAGATTTCAAGAGGCCTTTTTCCTAATGATTAATGAAATTTAGTATTTGATATACTATTGATGTGTGGCTATTTTTCTTCCGCCGATCGATTCTCAGAAGTAGGGGCATATAAATGGGATAAAATTATGTTTTAGGAACGAAGAATTACAGTTTGCCGCGGTTGTGATTTCAGTCAATGGAACTGATTCGCGTTTAATTGAGCCGACTAAAATTAGAGAAATCCTAAATATTTATAAATGTTTAATGTGTTTATGACATAGGAAGGGAGGCATATAGGGCTCTGAATTTACTTGGAACTAAAAGCCTCCTCACATGGTTGGCGTTTGAAGAAAAGGGATACGAAGCCCGTAGAATTCTTGATTCAGTGCGTAATCGATAAAAATTGCTTTGTGGTTGGAAAAGGTCTTACTGTTCCTGTTCAAGCTTTATGACGGGGATGGGCAAACTTTAGCCCATGGGCCAGCTCTGGCCTACCACAAATTAATAAACTATATTCTACAGAACCGACACATTATGACCAAACATTTATTCTATAATGCACTGCACTTTGGTCTGCAAAACCTGGAACTTGCTTTGGCATCGATGTCATAATTTCTTGGTACATGACTGGAGACAGATTGCGCCAAATATCTAAACAGTGGTCATGCAAAGTCTAGATATTCCAACTTGGTCGTATTTAAGCTCTGAGCTGCCACTCCATGACATCGCAAATATGCTCTCTCGGGTTAAGATCAGGAGAATTCATCTGTGTGCTTCTAGAACCACTCCAGCACAATTTGGGCCTTGTGACGTGGAGTGTTGTCTTGCTGGAAGATTCCATTACCAGTTGGGAAGAGAGACATCATGTAAAGATGTAAGTGATCTATTATGTTCAGATAGTTTGCAGCTTTCATGATCCGTTCTACCACAACCAAGGGTCCGAGATCCACCCACGAGAATGTCCCCCAAAGCAAAGAACTGGAACACAACCGAATGCTACTCGGTAACAATTCCATGCCTGGACGGCCATCTGCATCAACAGATCATAACTGTGCTGTAATTTGAGGAAATCATCGCTTAATTGTTCAAGAAGTTGCTGACAAAGTAGGTATCATGTCATCAAATTTTTGGGTGACAAACTTGAGATGCTTTGTGTCAGTGCAAAATTTGTGCAGGGTTTCCTGACTGACAATCAGAAACAGACCCGTTTTGAAATTAGCCAGGAACTGCTTTTCTTCTGCCAGGGACAATCAAAACTTTTTAAAAAACATCGTAACAGGAGATGAGATGTGAGTTTATGGCTATGATATTCAAAGGAAGACACAGTTGTCGCAGTAGGTAGGCAAAAGGTCTCCTTGTCCAAAAAAATCACTGAGTCTCAAAAATCAAGGTGACGTTGGTTTTGTTTTTTGACTACAGAGGTATTGTCCATCAGGAATTTGTACCATGTCATCACAATGTAAATATTGAAGTGTACCAGGTTAAGGCCCATTCACTGTATTCTCCGGACCTAGCCCCAGCAGACCTTTTCCCAAACTGAAAGCTACATTGAAAAGTCACCGTTTCCATTATAAGGTATTTCTCCTGCTTTCTTAGCAAGCCTTCGTGGTGTAATGGTTCTGCACGTTGAGCCGGTATTTCAGAGGTCCGTGGTTCGATTCCCGAAAAAAGCGTTTGCTCTCCACATTGGCGCCCGAACTAAAAGGGTGTTGGGTGAGGAGTCTGCACACCCAGAAGTTGGCGATTGGGTCCCCTAAAAACCCCAGTCGCCCTTTAAAAGAAGGAATATATAAGGTATTTCTACCACATTCTTAACGAGCCTTCGTGGTGCAGTGGTTTGCACACTGGGCCGGTATTCCAGAGGTTCGCTGAAGGATATTCAGGGCAATGTGCTGAGACCTGGGCAGTATCCCAGAAAGTGTGCTCGAGAAGGCTTTCCAAAAATGGAAGAAATGGTGAGAACAGTGTATTCCCAGTAGAGAGGACTAGTTTGATGGTGACAGTGCTTAAAATTTTGTACAATAAGCGATAAAGATGTTATACCCCTCAGGCATCAAAATGCCCTCTGTATGTATATCTGCACTGAATATGAAACCCGTGCATGATGTAATCGTGAGGCTTATAATACTGTTTTATCTTTTGGACTTATTAATAGGCAGTTTTGACATTTTCATCAGTCCATGCAATCTGAATACTGTGACGGGCTGTATTACATGAAAGTACGGTGGCTTAGTGTAGGATGTGTTTTAGAGTGAGTCTGGTAGCTCAAAGATGACATTGTATCATTTTTTCTTGAGAAACAGTGTCATGTGGAGCGGAAGATACAGGACAGTTTTTTGGACTTTTCACAGATCTTCGTCATATGAACAACTTAAACAACAAGATGCAAGGAAAAAATCTATTTGTTGACGATATCTGTGCCCATCTCAAAAGTTTTAAACTAATGCTTTATCTGTTTGTTGGGCAAATTGCTGAGAAACACTTATCTAATTTCAAAAGATTAAATTCATCCCTTATTAGTATTAAATCCTTTAGTAAATGAAGACAAGCATAAGAATTATGAAGATGGCCTGAAAATATTGCATTTTAGGTTTGAACACAGATCTCAAGATTTCAGTGCCATTTGAACAAATATAGATATTTTCGCCACGTCTTTCAGTATAAATTGTGAAGCAATGAGAGTGGATTTGCAGCTTGAATAAATTAAGTTACAATCTATTTATTACTCATGTTCCAAAATTAGAGTTCTACAAATCGTTATTGAATTCCCAAATTTAACAGTCGAATTTTATACTTCACACCCAGAAAAGTAATAGTATGCTTATGCTTTTCCCATGAACCTTAGAAAGAATTCTATTAGAATAGACTGAAAGATGAGCATTTAGCATCACGTCTCAGAATCAGTATATTGCAGTTTGAAACTGAATTTAACAAAGTTTTAAAAATGCAATTTTAATTTCATTCATTGCATTCATATTTATATTGTAATATTTGTATACTTTAATTAGAATAGAATATTATTATTAGAATAAACTATATTGTATTTCCCCCCCCTCTCCCAAAGACGTTTGCCCATTACTGCTGCAATTTGTTTCTTCTGCCATTCGTATCATCGACCTCTACAAGTGCGTCAGCATTCCGTGCCATACACCACCACACCCCTGAGGAGAAAACTGCAACTACAACTATATCTATCTGGCTTCTACTAGGGATTAAATACAACCACTTCTTTTCCTTCTCATTACTGTGAAGAAACAAGGGGGAATGGAAAATTTCCAACATTTGTATTATAATGTATTTTTAATGCTCACAAATAAAATATTTTCTTAAAAACTGACACTTGTCTGTTATATACAAACCATTGGCTGTCCACTGACATAAATTTTGGCGGATGCAGATGAATACAGAAAGAGATATAATTAAACAAGTCGGAGAATGGAATAAACAACATATAGTTGAACCATGTTCATGAGAATTTTCCAACCCTGTTGTTGCCGTAAAGAAAAAAAGTGGTGCAAATAAGAGTTTATACAGAAGTTCAGTAAAGTTACTGTGAATCAAAAGTATTTAGTACCATTGATGTTAGAAACAATGTATTTCACTTTGATGTAAATAAAGACAGAACTCCAGAATTTTATTCCACCGCATACTGGTCGACACGACTGGTCAGTTCCAATTTTTAAAAGTGCCATTTGAGTAGCCATCCATCAGCAGCTTTTCAGCTATTTATAAACACTTTCTTTCATCTATTCATAAGCAGTGGTATAGTTTTACTTTATATAGATGGCATCATTATATTATTAGCATCTGTATTGCAAAATACAACATGCCATACAATTTCAGCTGTACGTTATTAACCTAATCAGTTAATGATATTTTACTGTAATGTACATATTGACCAATGCACTTTTTACAAGTATGAAACTCTGCATATTTTTATTTTACCACATACCTATATCTGACCAGCAAATTGTCGCATCATTCGTAAATATTTTTACCGCATTGTGCAAGCTATTTCAAGTAATGCTGATACATTGTATTGTTGAATTACTGTATTAATGTAAAACATTTCTAAAACAAAAAACATTACCTTGTTGCAGAATATAACTACTAATACTACTAATATACTCTTGTATTAATAATTGATTCACATATGATACACATTATTTTGCAACACAAGTTAGCTATAGTATCTTGAAATGAGCAGTTCTAACATACACTAATTAAAACAGTGTTGCATTAGATTAGAAGCTCAGTGAATATCAATAGTTCATCACTTCAAATCCCAGTTAATGTGTGGCTTGCAAAATTGTTTGCATGGTTTTTCCCATGTGCAGTAGGAATAAAGGCAGTTTTCTCTAGAAAATTTCCCTTGCTTAGGTATCCTAGCTTGCTTTATCATAATCAAAAAATCGAAACTGTATAGCAAAATTACAAGGTTACTTATTATAACAAATAAATTATTTATAATAATAAATTATCAAATATCAGTAATTCTAATGTATAGAATGTAGTTATATTGCGTATCTAATTGTATCATGGTGTTACAATATGGCATTAGGCTACGAATTTTTTTTGCGCGGTCCTTATTATATTCAATCAATTCTGAATTAAATAGGGGCAGATTAACCAAGCTAAAAATGCTAAGTTTGTTTATGGTAGAATGTTGGAAAAATTACCATCAGAACTAAGCAAAATTTCTATAAGAAATACACAAAGGTCTATAAAATCTTTAGGATAATTGTGCAACTTTATTACAGTTAATGTATTTGATTATATGTAAATTCCTATGGAAATATTTTTATTAAGGTTTCTTCGTATTTGTCCAGCAATACTGTATTTAGTGACCTTTGCTCAGCAACAATAGATGTTTCATATTTGCATAGGCAAGGTGCCTCCTCTTCTTTTACGTACTGTCAGTTCCCCCTGCAGTGACTACTCCCTTTTTTAATAAATACTATAGTTCGGGCCTCTTCAGAATCGGGTTACCCCATTGGGGAGTGAATTTAGTTACACTAGCAAATGCCAACAAAGGCACTTTAGCAAAAATCATAGTATCCAAGTCAGTAATAGCAAATTTCACAATATTTAGGAATTGTTTCTAACCCATGATAGTGTTACGTTCTACGGGTTTGTGGATTTGGAGTAATTGATGGTAACACTTGGAGAATTAAAACACAATTTATTCGTCAATATTAAACAGGTGATATGTTTACAGCCGTCAAAAAACTACAATAAACATGCTGAAACAATCAGCAGTACAGCCTTCAGGCTATAATGGTAAAGACAGCTTCACAGCAAAGTGCTAAAGTATTGCTTCTGATTCGGTTGATCGCTCTCAAGCTAATTACTGAACTTAAAATACTACTCTACTCAGCATACAGGCAGGGGCAGGGTATATATATATATATATCTTTTGATCTGCCTTTGGGAAAACCAGTAAGAATTCGGACTAGATGTTCTCGCTCTCTATTTGGCACAGCGGAAATTTTGTCGCCAAATGGGCAGTTTCCCGCCAAATGTGGCAGCCCTGTCTTTACTTGCCATTTTCTGGCAACCCTATACCCGCTTTGTGGGGAAGCTATCTTATCGCAGCTGGGCATTTTGCAACAATAGTACACAACTTAAGTGTACACAATCAGACATTTATAAAGATTGGTAAAAATTGCTAGATCATAAAAATAATATAAGTGGTAGCCATTACCTTTCTGTTACCTCTCAACTTCCACTGATTTTCCTGCTCTGAAATTATTATTTTTTTTGGGGGGGGGACTCCTGATTTATGTAACCAAATGAAGCTGCTTAAAAGTGCAGAGAAACAGTAGTGTTAATAATATTTCTCTGGGTAAATTACAACGTGAATCTTCTCTCGTTTGTTTTAATTGCTCTCAATCAACCAATATTCTGGATTAAACATGGAGATTATCTCCATTTAAGTCTATTGCAGTATTATTTCATAGGCTATCGTGTTGAATACTGAATATACCGAATCGTTAATACTTGTATTACTGTAGATTAGGGTTTTATTTTGCAATGTTGGAGTACAGGTTCTTCATGTAGTGCAACAGTGCAAAATTTTATAAAAACAATATGTAAGTTATTGCAATAACTATTTATATGGATATACACAGCTTTAAATGTCTCCAAATGATTGAGAAAATGCCCATAACTTAATTATACCAAGCTTTTCTTAAAACCTTAATAGTAAAATAAATGATTATAAATATGTAGATGTAGATTATGTAAAATTGTAATATGTAGATTAAATATGTAGATAATGGTAATATGTAGATTGTCTCTTAAATATGTAGATTGCATGAATACAAATATGTTATGTAGAATGGCAGTTCACTTACAAAACCAGAAGAGAGTGTACATGTATGTTGTAAATGAAATGATAATGGGTATACTGAATCGTATATACCAGGTTTGTAACGAAACTTAAAGATTCTTTATGATATATACCAGTTGTAACGTAACATAAAGAACGATGATCGTCTATTAATACCATGTGGTGATCTGTGCCTATTTTTCAATGCTTGCCTATTTTAATGTTGAAACTTGAATTTTTTGCACTGTGACTGATATGAAAGGTAACATATAATTTTTCACCATATGACTCTACATAAATAATATAAAGTTGTGCATAAATTTTCTTGAACACATCATATAGTAACCATTCAGAGATATCTGCATTAGTTTATTATAGATTGATAATTATTCATTGTATATAAAAATCAAAGGTTGAACCATACTTTTGTTTTTCACTGTCCAGCAATAAATTCCTTTTTATAATATCTACCTTTTTATATATAATCTTATCTTAATATAAATATTTACCTTTTTATATATAATCTTCTCTTAATATATATATCTACCTTTTTATATATAATCTTCTCTTAATATATATATCTACCTTTTTATATATAATTTTTATAATGTCTACCTTTTAAAATACCTTTTTATATATAATCTTTTTAATTCAAATAAATACGAATCTCAATTTTCATGAAAATATGTTATTACAAATGCTCATAAACTAAGAACACCTGCATGCATTATTATTGCATAGAGTGTACCATATTGGCATTCTACTGTATTACAGCATTGGTTTACTGTATTGAGCAGATATTCTGCTGCACCATATGTTTCAATTATTACAAAACTGAAATTTACATTATGCGCGTGAAACATATTACATGTATTCTATAATTAACATTTGTCTCTTACGATTGTAAAATACACTATTTTTTGTAAAAAGGAACATGCACTATACAGTTGTAACTTGCTTACAAAAAATTAGATACTTTAATAAATAAATATCAATATTTAATAACCTTAAATATCTTAATAATGACTACTTATTACCTACCTTTTTACTTCATCAAACAAATTATGTTGCGACAAAATAATTATTCAAGTATGCATTAAAAATTGTATAAATAATTTTATTTGATTCAAATTCTAATGACAATATTCAAAGTTCTGCGGTTTAATTTAGTTACTGAAATATAGCATCTGAAAAAGATAATCTATACGGGATGATTCAAAACTAGAGGAACAAACTTCTAGGAAAGATATGGTACATCTAGATGACTCGGCATCCCAGAGCAGTCCAGGGTCGGAAATGCAATCCTAAACAGATGAGGGGCTGTGGTACGAAAACCTCGACAGCTACCCGGAAAGGTATTACAGTGGAAAATATGAAAACAGCGGGATCGCGAATTGACATTTAAAATCCATAAGTCATAATTTTACTGATAATGAAGTTGACAAAGTTTCTTACTGCATGGAAATCTCGAATGTTCGTGGTAGTCACGAAGACGCCATTTTAAAACGTCCAAAATTGCATGCCTTACATTACGTTATAAAATTTTGGGGACTTTCTTCATCAGAAAAGCCAGGACTTATTTTAATGAGCTTTAAATGTTAATTTGCGATCACTATGAATTCTAACAAATTTTTTTCGTACTACCTCTGATCAGCTAGAGAATAAAGAAAGAATCATAGTTTACTTTATGCTACTAAAAATCTGTTTTTATTGTTATTATTATTATTTTGGAAGGGGGAAGACGGATTTTACAATATGCAGAGTTGACACTTAAAATAATTTCAAAAGTCATATGATAACATTAAAAGCACCATCCTTAACAATCAAATTTTAAAAATGATATTTTGAAAGTTTTGTTTTTTATATTGTGCTCTCAGAAAAACTTAGAATTAATCATAACGCACAGGTATTTGCTTTCTCAAAAAGAGGCCTGAAAGAAACTTCAAGTAATAAATAATATTACATGAATATATG